TAAAAGGGAGTTTTTCCTTCCCACTGTTGCCAAAGTGCTTGCTCATAAGGGGTCATATGATTGTTGGGTTTTTCTCTGTATCTATGAAGCGCCTTGAGGCGACTTATGTTGTGATTTGGCGCTATATAAATAAAATTGAATTGAATTGAATTTATAACTTTGGTCACTTTCAAAGAAATTGAGGGTCTAATTTTTATGGTAGTTTCATTTTAATGGAGATAGAATAGAAACAAATTTTTAATAAAAATCCAGAAATGAAAAAAAAGTTTAAAATTTGATTTGCATTTCATTGAGTAAATTAAATATTTGATCTCCAAGCAAATCATGACTCAGTACTTGGAGAAACCCTTGTTGGCAATCACAGCTGTAAGATGTTTCTTGTAGTTGGTCACCAGGTTTGCACACCTCGCAGGATGTATTCTGGTCCACTCCTCTTTCCAGAAACTCAATCTTTCAGGTTTCTTGGCTGCCACTTAACTCAAACCTTCACCTCCATCCACAAATTTTCTACAGGACTGAGGTCAGGAGACTGGCACGACCACTCCATGGTCTTAATGTGCTTCTTTAGACACACCTTTGTTGACTTTCTGGTATGTTTTGGGTCATTGTCATGCTGGACATCTGTCCACCGACTAATCTCCAGTGAGTCGATGCAGTAAAATCACCCTGTACCCTTAGCAGACAAACAGCCCTGAAGCAAAATGGTTCTACCTCTGTGCTTAACTGTGGGGATGGTGCGTTTTCCTTCCTCCAAACACAGGAGGTCAAGTTACAAGTAGGACTAGGCAATATGACCAGGCAATATGACCCAAACTTCATATCTCGATATTCTTTAGCTGGATGGCGATATACATCTCGATATTTCTTTAAAGCCATAAAGTAAGAACAAAAAGAGTTCTTAGTCAAAGCTGTGTCCCAAATGGTAAATGGCCTGTATTTATATAGCGCTTTACTAGTCCCTAAGGACCCCAAAGCGCTTTACATATCCAGTCATCCACCCATTCACGCACACATTCACACACTGAATCTCACATAGGCACTTTTATTAAGATACAGTGTAGATATACAAGAAAAAAAAAAAACTTACTCAGAAATAAATGATCAGCATTTATTAAATAATGATCCATAAATAAAATAAAAATGTTGTTTTTGTGCATAACAAAAAGCTCACAAATGTGCAGTCAAAATGTAAACTAAAAGACGCTGAGCATAATAACAAAGACTCTGTTCCCAACTTCTACTGCGTGACTGGCAGCCTTGAGTTTGAAATCGTCTTTGTAACCATGTCTCTTAACAGGTGCCATTTGTGGTCCTCATACACACACAATACGGTAATATTACGATGAAGCAGAGTACGTCTTACTCCGCGAGGCTCCTCGGTAGCCGTAATGCTCCAACAATCCTTTAAGCAGTGCAGCTCCGTAGCTTACCAAAGTCGTACCAAAACATTTTTTGAAAGTGCTGAGCGCTGTGTACCACATAAAATCGGTTCGTGGTCAGTAAGCACAACCAGAATTCATACATAAGGCACACTGTTTTTAAGAAAATGAAAGGATTTTAGGCGTCAACGCGTTAGCGCGGTTAGCTTGTTAACGCGCTGACGCCGTCCAGCCCTACGCACGGGGTGATCCGCGGTAACTCGTTAACAGATTTGCCCCGTTAATGCAGTTATGGCGTTAACGTCACGGTGACAACACTAAAATAGTAATCTCCAATTGTTTTCTTTTTACCGACCAGCTCCTCTTTGATAGCTGCCGTGTCCATCTTGTCGTTGCCTACAGGTGAAGTGATGGGGGAGGGGGAGTTGTGTTCAGTGAAGGAGAGAGGCGAGGCAGAGTAACGCAGCGTAGAGACAAAAGTGGACGAAAGAGAGGCAAACTTGCAGCTCCACCAGTATAGTTATAACGTAACGTAGACTATATTGATATAAACGGTATTGTCACATCTCATATCTCGTATAAAAATATATCAATATATTTAAAAACTCGATATATCGCCCAGTCCTAGTTACAAGACTTCACTCCATTACATAGGCATAATCCCAATGGCGTTCTTGGTGACTGCGGGCCCAACTGCCTTCAGATCATTAACAATCCTGTGCAGCTTTGGGCCAATCCACCACCACTCTCATAATAATCCTCATCCCCTGAGGTAAGATCTTGCTTGGAACTTCAGACCAAAGGTGATTGATTATCATTTTATATTTTTCCTAGTACCAAATAATCGAACCAGCAGTTGTCACCTTCTCACCAAGCTTCTTGCTGATGGTCTTGTAACACATTAAAGCCTTGTGCAGGTCTACAATCTTGCCCCTGACATCCTTTGACAGCCCTTTTTGTCTCACCCATGGTGGTGGAGAGGTTGGAATAGAAGAAACTGATTGTTGACAGGTGTGTTTCATACACATAAATTGATTGTAATTTGTGTGCCACATGAGCATGGACATCCCTGGTCTCAATCTGTGGGAGCCCAAATTGTGTTTAGGCTGTAGTGAATGTTGCTCAATAACATGCAAATCATTCAAATTAAAACCATTTAATTTTTTTTGTTTGTTTTAATGGGATTTGATCTGTATAGACATCCAGGCAGTCACTGAGTACAGCTACTGGTTGGGGAAGGGTTAGGGATTTTTATTCTGTATGCTGTTCCAAGTTGACACCACATAGATGAAGCTTCAGCTGTGGTACACACAGACATTACTTGAGTCTCAGTGCACAAACTCAACATTTAGACTCAACAGCAAAGGCATGCCATCTTCTCTTGGATGGATTTGGACCATTCTCTAGCTCCTGTGACGGGGTGGACAGGTATGCATTAACTCTGTCAGTGTAGCCAGCCAACACTCCTGCCCCACCACACAGCCTGCATCTAAACTCGTTTCCTCCGGCTATAGAAATAAACCAAGAACACACTGAAACCTTGTGTTTGAGCTACACTATAACAGCCGAGTGTTGTGTGTTAAAACAGCTACAGCATTCAAATGACTGCCGAATCAAACTAAAAACCCCAAAGCAGACTGAGCTGCAGTCCAGTCCCAGTCCCAATATGTGGGTGCCAGAAGTAGGAAATTTGAAATTGGCTGTAAATGTATTTTCTCAATAATTTCTAGGGTAGTCCCGGGCCAATATGCAATGCAAGTTCAATAAATGCATGTTAATTGTTCATCACGACTCATTAGGCCTGAATGCCCTTTGGGCAGTCTTTATTTAAAAAATAAAATAAAATAAATTTAAAAAATAAAAAGTAAAAAGAAAAGGTGTAGGTCTTAAATCATCTTGTCCAGTGTTAAAGAAACATACATTAAATTTCAAAAATACAGTTCATGGTCTTTAAAACTAAATCCTTAGCAGGTATTTAAACTACAAATAGCAGGGTAAGCCTCAAAATGCTACTTAAGCTGTAGAAAAGTATTTTGTTACGCAGTCATTACAAATGTAATGCGTTGAATTTTCAATAACAATGACATAATTCATGTTAACTTGCACAGAGTATATCTGTGTTTGATAAAGGTTTTGAAAACTAAAAAACAGTGAATTATTTCTTGGGGGGGGAATCATTTCAACGCCAGTGGATTTATCTACGAGACAAACCATGTTGGGAATAAGGAAACAAAATTAGAAGACTGAGCTCAACTTCAGATTGGAGCAATAAATCACACTGAACCAACTTGAACAGTTACAGTGTCAGGGAAATATTGGTTGTTCAGACAACATCGCATATACAGCTGAAGATCTAGCAAAATGTGGCACTGCATAGTGACTTTGCCCAAATTAAACTGCATTAACAGAAGAAGATTAGCAAAGATGGACCAGACCAATATTATAAAAGCTGAAGGACACATTCTGCCTCTAGACTGCAACATGTGACACAAAACCTTGTGAGCCTTAAAAGAGTGACGTTTCCAATTATTAATCCTTTGAGATAAGAAACGCAATATTTGGGATGGTTTCTTGTAATCCTATAAATACACAGCGTTTGTTGAAACATCTTTCCCTTCAGTTCGATGCAGAAGCAATTAATCAATGTCTCTATTTTGAGCTGGTGCCCTGTGATGTCTGAGGAAAAAGTGAAACTCAAGTCCTTGAGCTGCTAGATAGGAGGGATATCATCTCCCCACATTCATTTCCACAGCAAAATGTTTCATTTTATGTCAGTGCTTTCCTCTGGAAAACAATGACTTCTGTTCAACATAAGGGATATTAAGGCTTTGTCTATAAGCACTGCACGTACTCTAAAACCGTCACTCATTACCTCTCTTTCATTTGAATTGTTGCCATGCAACAGCTCAATAATACCACAACATTTTCCTTTGTGGATTTTTTTTTTCTTAAATCATTACTCATGAGAGCATAAATCTTCTTGGAAACCAAGAGAATCAATCTCCTCTGCTTGTGAGAATGGCCAACTGCCAGGAAGACTCTGGAAGGGGCTAAAAATCCCATTCAGTGCCAGCTTACTACTAAAACAATCGTGTGCACAACAAGCAGGGAAGCAGAGGGAACCCTAGAAGCTACAGCCATGCGACAGAAACCTGCATTAAAGTAAAGTCAAACACTCGTCACACACAGCTGAATGTGAAAGGGCACTCAGACGTGTGCACAGTCTTGTTTGGCTTTTATTTGTTCCATTAGAAAAAGCTTTTTCTCCAACAGGGAGGGGGGTAGCAGCAATCACTGTAAACCACATGCAGACTGAAGGCATCCATTTAAGTGACTGTGCACCCTGCTAGCAAGTCTACTGTTGTCAAGGCAGCGAGACATCCATTAAATCACCTGGTTCCATTAGAGAATCAATTACTGTGCCGCTTTCCTTGGTTGCACAGTTCTTATACCTGAAAAATCATTTCAGACAACCAAAGCAGATACACAAGGACACTAAGCTTCACCACCCTCATATGCTGCCAGGACCTATATGGTTCTTGAATTGCTCACAAAGAGCACAATTCCAGTGTCTCCGGACACATGACGTGGCTGTGTCAATGGAAGCTGGCACACTATTACCTTTGGTCGAGGTGGGCAGGCAGTGGCCAGTCGCTGCAGCTGTTCTGAAGTGTGGCTGCAGGAGAGGAGATCTGAGCAGCAAGCTGTGCGGCCCAGTCTCTTCATCAGAGAGGAGATGATGCTGCAGCCACAGCCACACATCGACTTGCTCATTAGTAGCCTGGCTGTTCTGGGGTGTGGAGAAAAGAGACTAGCTGTGAGCCGCAGCCACTTCCTGGTCCTTTCTGAATCCCCTCAGTTGTCCTCAAAGCTGATGCCTTTGCTGTACTGTGTTCCACATGGCACTAATCCACAGGTACTCCCGCCAGAGATAAGGCTGGTTTTAGTAAAAATACAGATGCTGCGGCTCACCTTAATCCACTGTGAAGGTACTTGAGTTGGGAAGTACAGTTTGTCGGTCCATTTCCCTTGTGATTGCTTCCCACTTACTCCACTCCCTCTGCTGTACTTCTATCTCTGAACAACACGCCTCCTGCTCTAGTCTCCCTCCCCCTTTCTTTTTTTTTTTTTTTTGGCCAAACTCACTTCCATCCACAGAACACCTTCTTTTGGCTGCAAATAATACACCGGACGCAGTGTCTGACACTACTCCCCTCTGTCTCTCACAATTTCCATCCGTTTCTTTCCATTCCCTTCACTGCCTTCGACTGCTGTGCAATGAGGATGCTATCCCCGACAAGGCTGTTGCCACCACTGTGCACCCCACCACCACCTCCTCCTCCAGCGGTAAGCCACTCAGACTGAGCTCCTCCAACTTGCCGATTAAAATGTTTTTCCTCATATGACATTCGAGCTCCGAGTTGCTTCATTAATTGAGGAAGCAGTGGACTGAATATTATAAGAAATCCAAGCCACTCAGCAAGCACCAGGAGGACTGATAAGCAGGATACAGTCAGGATGCAGTGGGGGAGGGGTCCAGCGTTTAGGAGACAATAACAGTGGAGGCAGGATTATTATGGTGATAAACTGTAACTGTGGTCAGCTTGCTGCTGATGATCACTGTAACAATCAAGGAAATAAAGAGCTGAAAATCTTCAGTGTGACAGTTACTTTAACTGATGAAGAAAAACTAAAGAGGAACTCTGCAATCTGTTGTTATTTTGCTCCACTGCAGTAATTTAGTTATTAAGCTTGTAATGGAGCAACTAATAGAGCACAGTTTTACATGGCACATGCCACCTGCACATGTGCTAGCTTAAACACCTGCAGCATCTTCAATATACATCCTTTTTAATTCCCTTGTGTCTCATGTCCCAGCTTTGTTGAACCCACACATTCCCCGCTCACCTCATCACAGATGCTCAACCTGTGGAATCTGTGCTGAGGGACAACCTGCACATTATTCAGCACTCAAGCTAATAGTTATCAGAGCTCATAAAGCCTGAGCTCCTTGAAAGTGGGAAAAACAACGAATGGGAGGGGCGGGATGAACAGCAAGACAAAGACAGATGCACAATAAAATGAGACTGGGCCCCTTTTGAAGGACCAACAATAGCTTTCTATTAATGGCACACAGTGTTATACAACTAGAAATCACCAACATCAAAGACAGTGAAAGAGGGAGAAATTTGTCAAGCCAAGAATATGCTAATAATGACCACCAAGAGTAGTTATGCTTAATTAAGTGCCAACATATGTCAACACAGGCTACTGCAGCCCATAGCTGTCCAAGCTTCACATCAGCTAATTAGAGGAACTGAACTGGACCTCTCAAACGTTTATATATTGGTGGGGATTTTTGAATCTGAATATTTTATGAATCCCAGGAGTAAACAGCTTTGCTACATAAGATAGGAAGTTTCAAAATTTAAAAAAAAAGAGAAAAAGAAAGAAAGACAGAAAAACAGTTTTAAGTTGTCAAACGTGTTAGGGATGGACCAGGCCATGCCCTTGGCATGTGACTCAGCACATGAAGTACTTCCTGATATTCAAAGCTTTCCAACACCACCGCCAGAGAATCAAGCTCTACACCTACAATGTTACAGGTGATCCTGGTGAGTTCGTAAAGCAGGTTTCTCTTTGCTATTCTCAGTCTACTGCCCCATAACACTACACCATAGAGCAGGGGTGTCGAACTCCAGGCCTCGAGGGCCGGTGTCCTGCAGGTTTTAGATTTCACCCTGGGTCAACACACCTGAGTCAAGTGATCAGGTCATTACCAGGCTTCTGGAGAACTTAAAGATATGTTGAAGAGGTAATTTAGTCAGTTAAATCAGCTGTGTTGGATCAAGGACGCATCTAAACCCTGCAGGACACCGGCCCTAGAGGCCTGGAGTTCAACACCTGTGCCATAGAGGATGGCACTGATGCCCAGCACAGACTCAGAACAGATATTAAAGGGCCTCAGCCATGTCCGAAAACAGAGAGAGCTGTGACCCTTGTTGTCGGAGGGCTTCTGTGTTTTTAGCTTAGTAAAAGCAAAAAGAGACAGCTATTGTTCATATTTACCAGCAGATCTCAGCTCTGTCTCATAACCAACACCTAACATTTGGTACAATCACTAGCAGGAAACTGTAATGAAAGAAAGTGAAAAAATATGTAGCCATAAAAATTACATTTCATATTCAGTAACGACAAATAATATGCAAAGGCTGCACTCTTGGAAGAAATGAGAATGGGTTTTATGAGTTTCATATTAAAACCCAGCAGGAAGAAAATACAAATTCATGACACTCGATCTCCCCAGCCAACCTCAGTTATAACCAATGACTACTAATGCTTTTGTTGAGTTTTGGTGTCATTTCAATTTTAATCCGATGTAAATGTGCTTGTGTGGTCAATATCCTCAAGTGGAAGTTTTCTTCTCTCAAATCATCATCATCATCATCGTTAACACAACAACCAGCAAAGCTGTAACCAAAAGATTGCGCCATTTTTGGTGCCTCGGTCAAAGCAGTCACACATGTATTACATCACCATAAGCATGCTGTGGACCATTCCTGTATTCATTCCCCTACCTGCCTTCTTGTGGTTGATTAGTGAAATCAAAACAAGTATGGCAGCATCAGCAGACTCTCATTGTTATATAAAACGCACACAGCTACGCACTGAACAGACTTTACTTCAATATTTAGCAGGAGGTGACGCTTCGCCTTCGTGTCCAATGTCAACTCTCAGTTTGTGCACTGAGCAGTTTTATTTTCCGTGTAAGCAGAACAATTCTGTCCTTCATTTTGTATTGCATTTCAACACACCTTGAAGTAGTACAAACTAGACTTCACCACAGAGCCCTTAATTTAGCAATGTACAGATCCACTCTACAAATGACTGTTAGTCTCATTTCGTGGGAATACTGCAAAAATGTAAAAACTGTTCCATCTGTTTATTCAATGAGGTGCATCACATTTGATGTACAGCTGTGACCAAGTACGAGCTGTGCCTAACATGAAAAGTTGCTGCAAAGAGAAATGATGAAGCACTTAAAGCTGTTATCAGTGCTCACTGGCACATCTCTGGGCTGTTGATGGGAATGATACTACATAAGACAGCTCACTGTGATTCAATGGCGCAGCTTTCCTCAATCACCGGGTTGCCATCTATCCAAAAACAAACGGCCCATCAGGAGAGAAATGAAACACTCCAAACACAAAAGGCTTTATCTGCAATCATCAGAGACAATCTGTACCGAAAGGTATAACACCATCAGCCCGGAACAAGGAAGCAGGCAAGCGTGCCAACACGTAATGCAGTCACCAACACTGAGGCAGTGTCTGGCAAAATGTAAGCTAAATACATGTGTTTATACTTTTGTTCTCTTCTTGCCCAGGAGTGACAGACAGGGCAGGGTGAAAGGGTGCTCTGTTCATTATTTATGAATATTGCTTTTCACTGTGTCAGCTCACTGCCTCAGTATTGATCTATAAAAGGAGGGTGGCTGCACCACAGCCCAGAATCTCAGACGAAGAAATAACGACAAAGCTTACACACTGCAGCTTTATAGAGCATCTAACTGGCACGTCGGCAGCTCACGGAGCTTTGCATATAACATAGCATGCATGTCATGGTTATATTTTTCCTAAGAATAAGTGAATACAGTAATTACCAAACAAAGTCTATACTGTACAGAGTTCCATCACGTCCTGCATTGGTGAATCTCCATTCATTTATCTCAATCCAAACCAATCTACACTCTTAAAAAGTCCCATACAATGAAGTGGTATGAGTTTTTTTATACTTTGAGGTAGGGCTGTGCGATATGACCAAAAGCTAATATCCCGATATAAGACATGTATCGTCGTTATCGTCCCGATAATGATATAAATCACGAAAATTTAACATTTTCTGTAAATTCTGTGAATCTCGGGCAGCTCGACTTGCATGAAGTGTTTCCAGCTGGGCGTCGAGTACCTGGAGTCGAATGTTTTAACCGATGCATGAAACATGATTACACGGCGTGCTGCGGGTGAAGCTTGTTCTAACGTTTGAATCTAAGATTTATTTTTTAGCACCTGGCGGCTCTTTTTTTTTTTTTTTGCTTATCATCCGTAAACTCTCTACATACTCTTTCACGTGATTCAGTTTATTTTGAAGTCTCAACGGGATCTTGAGCTTTATTGTGAAAGGTTTATGTGGAAAATAAACAAGCAGACACACAGTGGCATAAAAACAGGCACTTGTCTGTCCATAGTGTGGTTATATTAACTATAAGAGAAAGAGAGAACGTTAATTAATATAGCCACTACAGTGACCATCAAAATGATGAAAAAAATATTGCCGTAAACAATTTATTTTGCGACACCACAAAACAAATGATAGCGTAAAATGAAACGATAGACGTTTTTATATTGTCATCCGATATATATCGTTATTTGAGCAGCCCCACTTTGAGGTGTGAAGCATGAGCTACGAAAATCTGAAGTAGCTTACAGCCAGCAGTCTTCCAAACCATGGCAACAAGATCGCTTCCCCACTTGACAAACCCATTACAGCTCCTCTCTCTTTTCCACAAAGAAACTGGGCAACCAGCAGGAGTTGCACCTGAACTATGCTTCAGTGGGAAATCTACATTGTAACCTGATGTGCCCCTTCCATTGAAATGCAACTACAAGCCAGTCAACACAACAACTGGCCTGTTCAGCACTTCCTCTGCATTCCCGGCTACTTTTTTGGACACATCTTTTAAATTTATCAGACACATCTTATTACATTTATTGTTTAAAGAAGTGGAAAAATTAGAGGGACAAACGCTTGCAGTCACCAGTGCTACCTCTCAGCTTCCCAGTAGATAAACGTATGATATCAATTTGAAAAGCTTAAATGCCAGGTCAGCCAGGAATGCTGTAGGTCTTTTTTTTTTTTTTTTTTTTTTTTTTTTTAAAAAGGGAAAAAAGTGATAAATCTACCTTTCTAGGGAGACGCATGTTAGGTTACAGTGTAGACTAAGGTGTAGGGTTTCAGGGGGGTAGCTAAAGTAACTACACATTGCATCAACACAGTTCGCAATTACTGTGGTCTGATCATCTCATAATTCACATTTGTCAAATACAACAACTGTGCTGAGAATTTGGCATTTGAAAGTAAAGTGAGAGCTCAGAGAGAAGGATAGCTGCTCCCACTCTTGCTGTAGCTCACCGACCTCTACCTGAAAGTAACGGGTCTGAATTAAAACTCCAAACTCTGAAAGAGTCAATTAGAAGTGTTGCATAAAACCAAGGGTATGCAGACAGGTCCAAAAACAAAAAATAAAAAAAAAAAAAAAAAAACGAGTGATGTGATGTTTTTGTTGAAACTCAGCTGTTCATGGAGCGTACGTAAGAGACATTATGCATGTAAACTAAAGTCTTTTAAAAGCCAATTAATGTATTCTTTTTTCTCCAATTCAGCTTCAACATTTTTACAAAATGCTGCCTTCTGTGAGGTCAAGCACACTAGCGCAGTCTGACCGTTAAATGTAAACACTCTAATGTGGTGTAGACGTTAATGAAGAAACCTAAAGGGCAAAACAAAGACTCCAAAATAACGAAAAACTGAACATTACTCAAGCATTCATGCAACATTATTCATAATACTCAGTGACCAGTCTGAATGATTTAAATCTCTAGGAGTGTACACACACACACACACGCCCTTTAAAAAGATCAAATTTGTTGACTAATTATTTCAGTGGTTAATCAAGTGGCAAATATGTGATAATTAACATGCTGCCATTAATCTCTTCAAAGCAATTAGTGAAACATTTAAGTGGGCTTGCAAATGATGTCCTTAATTATCCTGCAGTATCCAAATGTTGGCACGCTGAGAAAAAAAATTACACTGAAGTCAATCTGTACAATGAAGAACCGACACTCATGCTGAGTTTAGACAGCCACACATCTGTGTGTGTGTCTCTATAGGTAATGTGATAATACCATACAACAAGCATATCTGACTAAGGATGCAGGCAGTCCTTTTTCCTCTGAGTAGGCTGCACTCTAGTGGGCAAAGCCGAAAATATCCAACAGCTGCTGATAAAAAGGCTGATTTAGGATCATTTCTCACTACTTAAGGCTGTGCAAACGCAAACACACAAACCCACACCCCATTAATAACATTCATTCACTCTAGGACAAAGAAAACAGACACAGAAAAGTTACAACTTCCTGTCTCCAACACAGGGACATAGGACTTCCTGTTTTGAACAAGGAGTCAAAAGCATGAATAACTGATCAAGAGTTAACCACGCCCTTCAACAGTTAACAGACCCTTACATCAACACCTACTGGTGTTACACGTTTCTACGCAGCTTTACAAGACAAAACAGCACACCAGCAGCTGATTTGTTCATGAACAAACAGGTTTGAGGTATAAGCTTAATCGGTTACTTAAGTTTTATAAATACTTTTATTACAGTTTTCCCATGTCTTGATGGAAATGAATAAATCATTTAAAACTAATAATCCCCATACAGAACTCATTTAAACAACTGGCAAGATAATCACCTCTAACAAAAATCATCTCCAAATTACAAGAAAAGATGAGGCGTTAGTCATGTTACAAGAGGTTAGCTAAATGGATCAATATACATCTAATTCAACAGACTGCATGGACAAATGTATCAGGACAACTTTAGGGCGTCCATTTTTTTTAAAAACTGGTTTCATGAAAACAAACATCATTATCATCATCATCACGTAAGAAAAGTAGCATATAGCTCTTATTTTAATCTCAAGATTTTGTTGCAGATGAGAGATTAAACTTTGGTGTTTTAGGAAATGTTAGTTTCAGTCAAATATTGGGTGTGAAAATAAACAGTGAGTCTGGCCTCGTAAAATAGTGACCTATATTACTGTAACACCAAGTTTATCATATTTGATTCACGACGTTTTGAGACCAATGACCATTTTGGGACAATGATAAATTGCCCCCAAATGCTGGATTTAGCAACACTGATTCAAATTCAAACTAATCTGTCAGAAGGTTCAATAAACACTTCAGCTTCAAAACCTCTCATGGTTCAGCCTTTACAGGGTTTAACATATTAGAGAGTCCCGTTAAATAACTTTCCTTCTTTAATGTGAAAAATGAGAGCATTTATTTAAAGATCCAATTGAATCCTTTCTGCTACACTTTCACTCGTGTTTTATTGGACCTGTGTGACTATCCACAGATACGCACAAAGCCAATTACCAGCAGTGGGTCCCGATTTAAAATGTCACAGCCATTTAAACTTTCTGCATTTCTGAAATGTGCATTAGCAGCAATTTTTACTATCCCTGGCCATCCCTCATCATCATTGTGAGAATGCTCTTCTCTGAAGTAGGCAAAAGGCTGTTCTGAATTATTTACAGAGAACGAGTGGGTGAGAGGTGTGGGACTGATTAGGGAGAGACACACAGGATAGTGAAATCTCAGTCCTTCAGTCTGCTTAGGAAGCAGTTTTGCATTTAAATTTAAAGAACCTTTTCAGAAAATGACAGCAGTGTACCTCCTACAGATATTCAGCCGCATAAGGTCAGCTTTTGACGGGAGGCTATTCTTTAATATGCTCAACATAAAAGGCAAAAACTCCTCCTAGCAGGCAAACGCACAGCTCAGTGACTGTTCTACCATCAGAAATAACGATACATCTTTCTTCTGTAGAAATATTTGTCATTTCAGAGTCAAGTTCCTCCTTGATAACAATTCCATCATTCATGAAAAGAGGAAGAGTGTCACATTATTGCACCCATGCACTGATATTTATACAATAAGCCATCTCGTTACCATCACTCAGGCAATCACCACATATTAAATATGCATATGCTTGTTTTATTGTTTTTGTAAAGGTCACCATAGCAAGCATTCACGTCTGGAACAAAAAGCACCAAGTGGCAATACAAACGACAAAGTTAAACTTGAAAGAAAATCCAATCCCAGACCATCAACCTGAATTATTCAAACTCCCTATCAAATGTCCTTTATCCGGTCCATGAGAGCAGAGCAACAGTTTTAGGAGGAAAGACAACGTTAACATTTGGACATTTGAGTGCCAATCCACACTTTAAAAATGCAGCAGTGAGCCAAGCAAGCCTCAGCTATGTGCTATCACTTTACCTTTAATTCACCAGCGCGTGCATGGGATGAATAATTCATGCCTTGCACCACACTCTTGGCTTTATGGAAGAGTCACCCGTACAGCTCAACGCAGAAAACACATTAACTGGGAGCAATGTGCTAAACACTTTTTTTTATTAAGTAAAAAAGGTCACACTTGAATGGAGATCAAGGTACAAAATTATCAATATTTGCATATCTAAAGTATTGTTTACTATGACTCAAAAAAAGGAGGTCTCACAAAAAATACATTTTTCTGATCATCTGACAAGTTTGCCAATGCTGTTTCTTTTGATTGGGAAAGTTTCCAATAGCCAGAAAGGTTTGACGTGCCGAGCAAACATCAAGTTACTCTGAATTTAAAGATTTTTTTATATGAAAGTTTAAGTTATAATACTTGATCATTTAAAAACCAAAAACGCTGACCACCAGATGCTTGGCCTCGGGGACCCTCCACGGGCCAGGCTCCAGGGCGGTGCCCCGGTAACCCCATCCCAGGCAGGGGGAACTGTTCCCTTGATCGTGCACTCACGGGAGTCTTCTGAATGGCTTTTTGTCTGGTCCCTCACCCAGGACCAATTTGTCATGGGAGACCCTACCAGGGGGCAAAAGCCCACGGACAACATAGCACCTAGGATCCCTGAGACACACAAACCCCTCCACCATGATAAGGTAACAATTCGCGGAGGGCCCTTGTGTCCAGGGGTCTTGTTCTAGAGT